TTTTTTTTTCACCTGGCCTCAGTCCGTGCTCAGCACATGCCCCTTCTGGTTTTTTTCAACATAGTTTGTAAAGTCAAATTAGCCCTTTCTATTATAGCTTGTCCTTGGGGGTTATATGGAATACCAGTAATATGATTAATGTTCCATTTTCTAAGAAACTCTTGTGTTTTCTTAGAATTATAAGCAGGAACATTATCAATTTTAATACTTGATGGAAGGCCGATAACATTAAAAGTTTCAATGAATTGTTGGATTACATACTCTGATTTTTCTCCTGGTAAAGCAGTGGCCCATTGAAAGCCTGAAAAAGTATCAATAGTATGATGAACATATTTTAACTTCCCAAATGATGGAATATGAGTAACATCCAATTGCCATAGTACATTTTGTCTATCCTGTCTAGGATTAACTCCTCTTTCATAGATGGGACCACATTGAGGACATCTATGTATAGTTTCTCAAACTTGTTGCCGTGTAATTCCAATTTTTTTCATCATTCCATTAATATTCGAATGTGTATAGTGATGAAAATCTTCACTAACATTAACATTCCCTACCAATAATTGATCTATCTTATCACTTAATTGTTACATTGGTCCCGGAAGGCCTGAATGAGCTTGAATATGAGTGATATATATAGGAGATTCTCTTTGATGTATTAAAACTTGTAACATAGTAAACAACATACTAATATTAGAATCTTTAGAAGGAATATATACTGTTTCTATATTTTTAATAGTAAACTCAGCATATTGTGGATCAGTAACTATATTCAAAGGAAAGTTTTTATCTTGCAATAGCATAATAATAGCATATAATTCAACCTATTGAACAGAAGTTAAGTTAGTTTTAACTACTTTGTTATCTTTACCATTAGGATATCCTGCATAACCCATCTTATTTGCATCTGTATAATAAGTACCTGCTTTCAAAGGCGAAGTTTTTACTTATTTGGTAGTATCCAATTAGTCCGTTTAATAAATTGTAATCACTTATCTAAAGGATAGGAATTAGAGATCTTTCCTATATAGTTTGCAAAAGCCTTCTGAAAATTATCTGATATTTTCCATAAATTATTGATTTGTGAAGATGTAAAAGGTACTGTAATTTCCTTTGGGCCAACAGCCATTAACTAGCGTAACCTCAGTTGACCTTTAAGAATGAGATCACAGGTTTTTTCCATATATGTAACTATTTTTTTACTACATTTATTTCCCAAAAATAACCATTCTAAAATTTTATTCTCTTGATATAATATTCCAGTGGGAGAATGTAAGAAATGAATAATAATCAATTTTACAGATTTATTTAAATCTATGCAGTCTAATTGAGCTTCACGTATCCTTTGCTCTATAAGTTTTAATTCCTCTTCTCCTTCAGGCGTAAGTTTTCTAGGACTTTGAATATCTGAAGGACCTTCTAAGATTTTGAATAAATTTTGTAATTGATATGTAGGAATACCTAGACTAGGTTGTAACCAATTAATATCACCTAATAATTTCTGAAAATCATTTAGAGTATGCAGAGTATCTCTTCGTATTTGTATTTTTTGAGGAGTAATTTTTGATCTTTCTAATAAGGATCCTAAATATTTATAAGGTTCTGTAGTTTGTATTTTCTCAGTTTCTATTTGTAATCCATATTCCTGAAGGATTTCTGTAGCCTTATTATATAAAGATTTCAATGTATCTGAATCAGGACAAGAAAACAATATATCATCCATATAATGAATAATTAAAGAATTAGGATATAATTTTATTAAAATCTTTAAGGGCTGATTAACAAAGAACTGGCACAAGCTTAGGTTGTTCAACATTCCTTATGGAAGAGTTTTCTAGAAATATCTTTTGGCAGGTTTATGACTATTAATAGCAGGAACAGTAAAGGTAAATTTTTCTCTGTCTTGAGGTTGCAGTGGAATAGTAAAAAAACAGCCTTTAAGATCAATAACAATAATTGGCCATTCCTCAGGGGAAGAGGCAGTCCAGGTTGTAAAGCACCCATTGGCTGAATTACTTCATTATTTTTTCTTAAATCAGTTAACATTCTCCAGTTACCTGATTTCTTTTTTATAACAAACACTGGAGAATTCCAAGGACTAGTGGTTTCCACTATATGACCAGCTAGATATTGTTCTTGAACTAATCTTTCTAAAATTTCTAATTTCTCTCTAGTTAGGGGCCACTGCTCCACCCAAATTGGTTTTTCTTTTACCCAAGTTAAGGGGAGAGCATAATGAGGAACAGTGGCCCTCATTATAAATTTGGATATCCTAATCCTTTCCACAATAAATTAGATTTAGGTTCTGAAAACTAGCAACTCCTTGTTTCCTTTTTCCTAATCCTTTTCCTGGAATATAGTTCATATTTAGCATCGTATTTTTTTGCTGGAGTTGAAATAGTTGGAATTTGTAATGTAGCTCCCCACTGAGCTAGCTAATAAATCTTGGCCTCATAAAGTAATGGCAATATCAGCTACAAAAGGTTGTAATTTACCCTTTTGACCTTCTGGTACTTCACATTCAAAAACATGGTCACTCTGTTTCACTCCAGTCATAGTATCAATTCCAGTAAAAGTGACAGACACATCTTTTAATGCTAGTTCTGAGGGCCAATGATGAGTAGCTATAATTGAAACATCAGCCCCAGTATCAACCAAGCCTTGTAATTTATGCCCTTCTATTGTAACAATCATTTGTGGTCTTTCATCATTAATAATGGTATTCTAATATATATTTGATCCTGTACTGCCAAAACTTTGTGTCTTTATAGGAGCAGCCTTTTGCTTAATATATGGTAGTAACAATAACTGAGCGATTCTTTGACCTTTTTGTAGATTCTGAGGCTGTCTAGTAGATACCATTATACTTATTTCTCCTTCATAATCAGAATCAATAATTCCCAGATGAACAAAGATACCCTTACTAGTTAAACTACTTCTTCCAATAATTAATGCAACACTATTTTCTGGAATCAGTCCAACAATATTAGTTGGTATCTTATAAATTCCCAGTTCTGGTACAAGAGTAATATTATCAGTAAGAGCTATATCTAATGCTGTTGCCGCTCACAGCAGGATTGTTCACATGATACTGCTGGCAGCTCGCATTGTTTGCTGCAGCCCCCACCCCTCAGCCCCCACCCCAGCTGACAGACCCCCTATGAAGTTTCCTCGACCCAATCTTAACACCTTGTTTATAGAATAAAGATCTACACTCATTAGTTCAATGATATCCCTTTCCACAATTTTTACAAAGCCCTGAAGGCCTGTATTTTTTACTCTCCCTTCTTTCTTTTTGACAGCTTCTTTTCAATTGTTCTAATATTTCACAATTGTAACATTAAGTTTAGTTCTTAATTGTAACATTTAGTTCAAATTTAAAGTTCTTTTTAAAACAGCTTTGTTTCTTAGCACTTAAGAAAATCTAACCTTTTGGATTTTACAGGTAGTCAACAGAGGGTATAACTTTTCTCTTTATATCTACTCTGAGAACTAAGTTACATTTTCTCTTTTATCTGCTTCTAAACTTCTAGTTCATCTTATCTATGCAGCTGTGAAAGACTGGTTGTTTCTTTATTGTTGGCATCCCAGACTACAAAAAATAAAGAAAAACTAGCCATCTTTCAAATGCAGTCTATTTTTTATAAGTTTTTACTAATTCAGAGATTTTGATTCATATTAAATTTTTTTCAGCTGCAGCTTTTAAATCTATTTGTTGATCTTTATAACTTATTCTTTGCTTACTTCATCTTTCAAATCAAGATTTTTCTTTTAAATTAGCTTCATTCTCTTACTTTTCATATTTCACTGAATTTCTCAAATTGTATGAGCTCAAAGTACTATTATTACATTAAACCTAATAAGACAACAAGCAATAATAACAAACTTAAACAAACAAAACAATCAACACAAACAGTTACTATTCTTATCATCAAAGTCCATACTGGCTAAAATTCAATAGGAATTTGTTCTTTATATGCTATTCGTAAATCTCTTATAACATTATACCAAGTTTTAAAATTTGACTGTGCTCTACCTACTGGCTTTAACCTGTAATGCCACTATATATACTGAAACAACTGCAAAAATGAGTTTTCTCTTTTACCCCTGAGCTCTTAAGTAATTCTTTACGAGAGAAATATATTGAGCTTCAGAGGATGGGGCATCCCCCATGACTCTTTCTTATCAATTCTACCTCTGAGTTTTTAATACGTTTTCAGAGGGTGGGGTATAGTCCCCATGAAATATTTTTCTTCCCTTAAATTTGCCCTTTAAGGGGTGAGAGAATCCTCATGAAATTTTTTCTAACTCTATCCTTAACTTCCAAGGAGTGAAGATTCTCTCATGACCCTGTTTTTAATTTTCCTGAAAGTTTCACTTACCCTGAGTGAATTCCCTTTCGGTTCCTGGTGTCTGCTCGAAAAAGAGAAAGAAATAAACACCACCTTTTTCAAAGAAAAAACACCACCTTGTCCCACGGTTCGGGTGCCAGAATGTTGCAGTTGCAGACCGAGGGTCCCAAAGAATGGAAAAATTTTATAATCATGAATAATGAGACAAACAGCCAGAAATGAGATAGAGCAGAGATCATAAAACAGGGGGCCAGCAGTTCTCTGAAGACCCCAAACCAAGCTTCTCAGTATCTTTATTGAAGATTATCAGGAAGTAAATCACAAAGAGAATTCAATGCAAATGAAGCCAAGCTCTTTCTATTGAAAACCTTCTGCTTGACTCAGGAGGGAGGGTTTCACAAATGCAAGAATTTGGTTTACCCTTAAGGATTACTTTGATGCCTCAGGGTGAACTCTAGCTCAGGAAGTAACACTCCCTCTGTAGGGGGCCCCTTGCTGTCTCCTGTCTGTAGGGAACAAACAGCTCATTTTCTGGGATCTGCCACAAGAGAAATCCTAATTTATAAATCCGTAATTCCTTCAATTCCTGAACAAGGGTTTTCATATAATGTTTGGTATAAAGTTTGGCTTCCCATACAACAATATGCTCTATTTCCACCTGACACATGACAAATACTTTCCAAGTGTTCTTCTCACAGCTACCTTTACCTCTTTGTTTTTTAAACTGTAAATGAAGGGATTCAGCATGGGAGTGACTACACTGTACTGCACAGAGAAAATCAGCTCCAGGGATGAGCCTGAAGTTGGCATGAGGTAGCGTAGAAAACCTGAGCCATAGAATAAGCTCACTGCAGTGAGGTGAGAGGAGCATGTGGAGAAAGCCTTGTTTCTACCAGAGGTGGAAGTGATATTAAGAATAGTTGAGACAATGTGGGCATAGGAAAAGAAGATTGGGAAAAGAGTCCCAAGTCCTTGCAGCAGAATGGAACAGACTAGGACTGTGAGGTTGACGGTAATATTGGAGCAGGATAGAGGAAAGAGAGAAGGCAGCTCACAGCTGTAGTGGCTAATGGTATGGTTATCACAAAAGTCCAGTTTCACAGCTAGGAGGGCATTGATGAGGGCATTGAGAAAACCCAAGCCCCATGATCCCCACATAAGATGCACACACAGCTCTTTACTCATCACCTTGCCATAGAGCAGAGGGTAGCAGACAGCAGCATAACGATCATAGGCCATCACTGAAAGCAGAATGGCCTCAGTCCCTGCAGTGAAAAACACAAAGAAGCTTTGAGTTAGACAACCCTCTACTGAGATGGATTTTGTTTCAGACATAAGGTTTTCCAGCATCTTGGGCACAATGATGGAAGATAAACATAGATCCAGGAAGGATAGATTACTCAAGAAAAAGTACATGGGTATATGTAGGTGAGAATCAGTTCTGATCACCAGAAGCATCATCAGGTTCCCCAGCAGGGTCAGGAGGTAAACTCCCAGGAAGAGCATGAAGAGCAGAGCCTGGGTGAGGGGATCAGAAGAAAGTCCAAGGAGGATGAACTCCCTGATAGCACTGTGGTTCCTCAAGTCCATTTACAAAAGCTGTTCCCTAGATAGAATATGGAAAATTATGACAGTAAATTTTCTATCCTCCAACCTTTTTCACATTGCTTTGGTTCTCTTTCTTAAAAATAAAATCAAAACCAACTCTTTCAAAAACAGATATGTATGTGTGAATTTGCATATATGCTTTGGCTATTTCAACCATTTTACATGATATTAATCATATTATATTAATACATTCTATTAATGTCATTCAGTATGATTTGCTACCTTAGCCTTTATCATTATCCATTTCCAAATGCTTATCATCATCCAAAACAGAAGTCTATATCCTTTCTGTAGTATCTTCTCTCTCCATTCCTATCTCATCAGCTCCACACCTAATCTACTTTAGTCTCTGTATTTGCCTGTTTTGAATCACAGAAACGAGATCAAAGCATTTTTTGTGCTTTTTTATTTGTCTGAATTATATCACTCAGTACAAGTTTTCAAAATTTGTCCCAGTCATAGCATATATTAGGACTTCATTTCTCATTATGGCTAAACAATATTTCATTATATGTACATACCACAGTTTGACTACTTACTAATCTATTTCCATCTTTTGACTCCTGTGAAAAAAAAAATAGTGTCATGTACATTGGTGTATCTATTTGAATCTTTGATTTCAAGTATCTCTGGGGTTAGTTATGAATCAGTTCTGACTCATAACAGTGACTGAATGACTGAGTGACATGACTAGAAGTAGAATTGCTAGTGGCCTAGTGGTAAGAAGTTGCAAAGCCAACCCAAACACAGGCAATTTAATCTACCAGCTGCTCTACAGGAGAAAGGTGGACAATCTTTCCCCCTGCAATTTAAAGCCTCTGAAAATCCACTGAAGAGTCAGTCAATTATAGGTTGGTTCTTACTTGAAGGCTCACACAACATGTTAATCCTATGTTTAGCTTTCTGAAGAAATTCACTTCAGAGCTTTTTAATATTTTGCTTATCTTCAAGGGTGCCATCCTCATCATCTCTGACATCATTGATTGAGCCCACTGCTGCATTTACTGTGTCAGTTCATCTCCCTAAGGGTCAAAGGTGATAAGGATGGCACAGGATAGGACCACATTCAGTTTATTATTCATAGGGTTGCTATGAGTTGTACTCAACAGCACCTAACAACAACAATAGCATGGATTCATCCTTAATGTTCAGCTAGGTTCCTGGTTCTGGCTAATTCTGGGTTGCCTGGTCTTTTAAATCAAGGTCTGTCCCAGATATAATTACTAGCAAGAATGAAACCTTTGTCTTTCCTTAGCAATTATTGTTGTTGTTGTTGTTAGGTGCCATCAAGTCGCTTGCGCCTCATAGAGACCCTATGAACAACAGCCCTAAACTCTGTCCTGTTCTGGGCCAATCTTATTGTCTCTGACACACTCATCCTGATTACCAATTATTTATCTTTAATTTAAGCTTTAAAGTTCTTAGAGGTCATATCCTACTTACCTATATAGTTCATCCAAGGAGGCATTCAACAAAGGAACTTCAGGACTGTGATTTAAATGCAGATTTTAAGATTATAAAAACATTTGAGGATGTTAACATGAAACATGCATCCTGAAACATAGTTAAGTTAAAATCTTGACAAATATACTCCTGAATTCTATTAGTAATAATATCAACTTTCCGTAGGATAGTTACTGTTTTCAAATCCTATTACCTTAATTTGGATTTCCACACTTCTATATAGCTCAGTCACTCGTGAGTTTAGTTGGTAGGAGCATTTATGCATCTACAACCTGGGCATTAACTGCACATCATTAATGTTTAGAGACTCAAGGGAATGTACATTTTGCTATTCCCTATTGTCACAATTTGAAGTTAATCCTGTATTCAAGAACTTGAACAACAATACTCAAGAGTGTTAGCAAATATTAAAAAGAAGTTAGAAAACTTAAATTCATAGACATTTCCTAGGTCTGGTTTTAGAAATACTGAGTTGAAGTAGTGACTTTAAAACTCTGACCTATGACAGCCTCAATGGAGTTTGTAGATTGATTTAGCCAAGAATATTTTCCTGGTCATTATGAATCAAGGATAATTTGCATGAAAATCAGTTGTTCAGTTGCTAAATAAATTATCAGAGAAGTATAAAAGAAAAAAGTGATAAAATAGTCCTTCATCTGAATTTCCATTTGACTTTTTGTGATATGATAGCTCTGTTAAACTCAGACTACATACTAAGTGTTAACAACACATGAAAGCATACAGATAAAGATATTTAGGAAAATATCTACTTGGTTGGATATCATGCTTTTTAGATTCTTTAGAATCTTGTAAACATTGAATGAGATACTTAATCTTCAAAATTTATTATTAAAAACTATATCACTTTTTTATTTTAAAAATTTTTATTTTGTATTGGTTTGCTGACAAAGTTCATATACACTGGGTTTCACATTATTCTTTATTCACATTGTGTTTTACATAATCATTCCCATATATTATGTTTTATAAAATGAATCACCATTGGACTATGCCCATCATTACCCTGTGTTTTAAGGTCCACACCCCTGCCCCCAGATCTTTCCCATTTCTTATAATCCCTCCCTCCACACACCAAATTGTGCAACCCTGTGATTTCACCCCTACCTATCCTAACCTCCCTGCTTCCATCCCATCCTCCCTCAGGTCCCCATACATGTTTTCTAGTTATTCTTCTATTTTTACAATAATGGTCTTATGCAATATTTGGACTGAGTTAGTTCACTCAGCAAAATGCTTTCCAGTTTCTTGCAAATTAAGTAGTATATTTTTTTAATTGTTGCTCCTGAGGGCTGCATTGTATTCCATTGTGTGACTGTACCATAATTTCTGAATCAGTTCAGTTGTAGTTGAACATTTGAGCTGTTTCCATGTTCTTAAGATGGTGAATAACAATACTATGAACATTGGTGTACACATTTCTGATTGTGTCTCTGCTCTAATTTCCTTGGGGTTTATTCCTAGTAGTGAAATAATTGGGTCATATAGAGTTTCTGTGTTCAGTTTTTGAGGAAATGCCACAGTGCCTTCCAGAGTAACTGTACCATTTTAAAATGCCACCGACCTCTTCAATATTTATTGCTTGCTGCCCTGCTAAACTTTGCCACTGCTACTGGGATGAGATAGTATCTCATTGTCGTTTTGATTTGTACCTCTCTTATTGCCAGTGATTTTGAGCATTTCTTCATGTGCCTATTGGCACTTGAATGTCTTCCTCCATGAAAATTCTTTCCATGTCTTGCCCATTTTGTAGCTGGATTATCAGTCTTTCTCTTGTAGAGGTCTAGTAGTATTCTGTAAACTTTTGTTTTAAGATCCTTGTCTGAGATATAGTATTGCCAATTTTTTTTTCTCCAGTCAGTAGGTTTTCTTTAGAAAGTCTTATTCATCAATTTCATCCTCTCCAGACTGCACATTTCTGGCTGTATTTGTCTCCCTCTTTATATCATAGACTTGGCATTCTAAGCTTGGTCCCAGTTTGTCTCTTATGCACGCCATAGTTTGGGACTTTACTCCCAGTAAATCTTTGTGTATGTTCTTTGTGTATGATTTGAGATGTGAATCCTGTTTCCACTTTCTGCAGGTAGTAGTCCAGTTTTGCCAGCATCATTTTTGAAGAGTTTGTCATTTCCCATTTGATACATTTTATTTCCTTTTCAGATATCAGTTGACCATAAATTGATGGATCCATTTCTGGGTTCTCAATTCTGTTCCATTGGTCTATGAGCCTGTCATTGTACCAGAATCAGGTTGTTTTGGTTTACTACCATTGTTTCTTGAGGTCTAGTCTATTTGATGTTAACTGAGCTTCTTCAATGTGGATTTCCTCTTTCTTCATAATACCTGGGAAGTTTTCTCCTAGTACCTCCTCCACAATTTTCTCAGTGATTTCATATTCTGGAATTCTAATCATACATATGTTGTTCCTTTTAATGTCATCTCACATGATTCTAATGTTTTCCTCATTTTCTTCATCTCTCATTTCTGATTTTTCTTAAGGTTCTTGTCTTTCAGCTTGCTGACTCTCTGATCCATCTCTCCACAGGCACCCGAAAGTGCTGGCTCTGGGGAACAGTGTCACACCTGATGTTACCTTTTCTCCTGATGCCTAATGTCTTCCTTTGTCTCTGGCTATATTACATTTTTACTTATATTTTCCATTCAGTATAATAAATCGTTTATGTGCCTGGTAGTGCAATTGTTAAAGCACTAAGGTGGGAGATTCAAATCCTCTAGCAGTTCTGTGTGAGAATGATATGGGAGTTGGCCTCCATAAGTATTCATAGGTTAGGAAAGCCTATAGAGAAGTTCTAGTACATCCTATAGTTTTGCTGTGAGCTAGAATCAACATAGTGGCACTGAGGATTCTTTTTGTTGTTTAGAGGGGATATTTTTTGCATATCTACTGGAGAGTTATATTTATCTTTTATGAATTATGTATTTGTATTTCTTGAAAAATGTGCTTGATATGTCTGTATGTGGAAAACAGTTTATAGTGAGGACACAATATTTATGTTCATTGCTAGCATTACAGTAAAGAAGTAAGTAAAATTCCTTTAAAATAATAAACGAGTATTTTTAAGAGACTCAGCAAACATAAGTATTTATCCAATAATTCCAATTATCAAATTAATTGTAAAACTTAAAGAGATCCCCTTTTTGTACCGTTAAAGTGAAAGCTACTTTGAATTGTATTTGAAAATATTTGAGGAAATAAATACTAGTAATGAATTACTAAGTTACCCATTGACAGAAAGATAAAAACTGGTATATATATATATATATATATATATATATATATATATATATATATATATTTGAATGTTGTTAAGTTCTATGGACTCAGTAATGACTCCTTGTGAAGGAGAACAATGCCTTGCCCACTCCTGTGTCTTTCTCATAATCCCTGCTGTGCTTAAACCTATTGTTTGCAGTCACTGTGTTATGTATCTCCTTCAATGACCTGATATTTTTCCAAGCATGTTTTTCTAAGGACTGAC